CGGGTACTGCTTTGTAACCCATCCAGCAATTAATGTTCTTGTCCGCACCGACTGTGGTCATTGCATAAATAGGTGAAATTAGACTGTCTATGTCATACGTATCATTTGAATCCTGCAGCTTACGCCCCATGTCTTCTTCGGTGAACCACGAACGTTTCGGACTTGAATACCTGTACACAAACAACACAAAACAAAAATAAGTTCAACGAAAATATTGAAAACAGTAATGATCTATATAAAAAAATAAATACATTTTTAAGTAATTAGTTATATATAGGTTCACAAACACTTGGATATTATGACGATAAATTTTAGATATAGTGAAGTATGAAAATATGATCATTGGTTAAAAGTTAAAAGTAATAATAAATTGTCTAAGTGAGTTCATATTAGAAGTATTAACAATAGACGTTTTCTTCCTTCACACCGTCCAAACTATTTAAAAAATGTCAAAACAATTGCTTATTGTATTATATTTGTACACACATTGTACATTTTTTTTTCTATAGTTCTAGCAAAAAAAAAAAATAAATAAATAAATAAATAATAGGAACTTTTTAGCCTTTTGATTGTTTTTTTTTTTATGATCTTTTTTGATTATAAAGAATGAAAATTTCATAAACCTCATTGTTTTTTTATGTAATGCATTAAAAATAAATAATTCAAACTTAAAATTTAATTGGAAAATCAATATTTTTTTAATCTTATATTTTGTAATAATTATAGGTATGAAATATTACACCCACATAAAATATTTATATTTAAAATTTACATCGATAGAAAGTGGCTTAATGAATAAAATTGAACTATTCACAATTTTTAATTTAATTTAGCTTTGAAAATTGTATTAAAATTAATAATTTAGCAAATCAATTGGTTGTTGTTTAGTATATAGGTAATACAATTAGTATGTAGGGTAGGTACACCTACGTGTAAAATATTGCAACACATCGAATTAGGGTACTACAATAGTTCAACATTATTGATACAGACGTTTTTTTGAATATTTATTTTAATTATTATTAATTTATTAAGAGTATAACAGGTTTTTATTTTAAATTGTTTTATGTTTTATGAGCAATGAAAACTTATTTTATATTTATATACCTACATATTACATGTATGTGCATTGTGCAAAATTATTCGTCGACACTCTGTTTACAATTAGATGCAAAGATTTGTTTACATTTTAACATATTTTTATGCTATCTTATTTTTTAATTGGAAATTGTTGTAATGGAATGATTTATCACTCTCGATATGAATTCTTGATAAATCACCACTGAGACAATTAAAATATTAATTTTTCAGTTATTGATTAGAAATGTATCGATTACTGGACGTTTTATTTATTTTTACCGTGATACGAATAATCATTCAATATGTATTTTTATAAAATAGTAGAGAATTCCTTTCAAAATATGTGTTAAACATTTAAAATTACAATTAGTAGTGAATAGATAATATTTTATTTACAAAACAAGAAGTTATTATTTGATTTGCGGATTTTGGATTGGCTCAAAACATTTCTTTTTTTTTTTCATCATAAAAATACAATAGTTTAGTTGATAAAAAACCGTTGAGTTTTAATTAAATTACATTTTTTAATGTTATTCATATTAAATAAACAATATGCCAGTCCAAATCTTTGACCATATAACGATGCTGTTGTTATTACTGATCTATTGAAATTATGAATATACCATTTTAATTTTACTAAAATGTTTAAGGTCTTAGGACAACGCTAAATAATTTTAAATATAATATATAGTGTTATCTGAACCATAATTTTACGAATAAATATTTTTGATGGATATTTACTCGTAAGTTTATGCGAATATAAAATATTATTTTTTATATTTTAATAATAGTGCTACAAGCAACTACTCTAGAGGCAGTGGGATCTTTGTTAGCACGCTTGAAGTCACTTTATTTCCACTGCTAATGTAAATATTAAGCATTTATTTTTAATGATAAAAACTTTCCTAATAGTAGGCGTGAACTTGCCTCCTAACTATACTCATTTGTCCTATGAGACGTAAATTGCGGCTGTAGTTGATTTTTTTTTTCCATTCTTACTTATTATACATGTATTTTATGTTATGATTTTTATCGTCCTGATGATTCGTAGTCTAACGACCACAATAGTGTTTTATCTATTCCTCTACATAAGGACTGCACTAATTGTGTCCCGAAGGCTTTTGAAACTAACAATTTTTTCCATAATATTCGACGTTTCTAATTCGTTTCGACATGAATATATCGTATCTTTGTTAGTCACAAGCAATCTAGTATTAGTATAATCTTTTTATCCAGTAGTGCCGGAGGATCTCTTTATTTATTTTATTCTAGTTGAAAATTAATCATCAGTTTAATTCATTCTTTCTTGGATTTTTATAAAGTCCATTGTTTTCGTACAAATCAATTTTTATTATCATATAATACTTGTATACTAATTCTATTGAAATTGCACAATTTTATGTCTTCATGCATTTATTTAGCATTTTTTATAGTATGTTAATTTGACATACCTTAACTATTTTTATTGTAGTTTAAAAGAGATTTAGTTAGTTTAGTATTTCAAAAAAGAAAATATTATGTCATTTTTAATAGTGCGTGAAAATTAAAAGATAATCGTAGTTTTTTATTATAATGTGCGAATTAATTACACTCAAATAAATAAATCAAAAGTAGCAAATATGACAAGTACGATTTTTTCTTATAAAATATATCTAATCAACATTATAATATATCTGTAATTTAGAGAATTTGGCACAGAACATTTTATGATAAAATAATTCATTAAAAAGTATATTTTACTATGTAATGAAAAAAAAAAAACACGAAATTAGCTCAATACTAACGTTTAAATAAATATTTCTTTTATATTAAATTATTTTAAAAATAATAAGTTGTTTACCATATTTGTATATTATAATGTCAATGGGAAATAATTTTTTTCTGTGTTAAAAAGTGTGAACAATTATTTATGATCATAATTCATAATTAGTCATTGAAAGCTTTGCTCAATCAATATTAATTACTGAAGATGATTTTTATAAAAATATAAATTGAACAAGTTAGGTTACTAAATTATTAACAGTATAACTTATAGCTATAAAAAAGTTTGGATAATCTTAAGGGTACTTACTACCTAGCATTAAATAATTATTGTTAAATATGTTGGTAATAAAATTTTAATATTTTATTTTACATAACCAATTTAGCTATATTGTTTATTTATTCATTTTTATATGGAAAATATGAAAGTGATCAAAAAAAATATAAATTATTTATACTGATAAAACAAATGTGCAATAAAGTAATATCTAATACACTAGAGCCTCAATAGTCCGACCTCCGATAATCCAGTGAACTCGGTAATCGGACGTGGCATAAGTTTATTTTGTTCGTTAATACATTTGTAGTTTGTTCGGAAGTGAAAGTATTATTCAGAAAAAAAAAATGACTGACTGCTAAAGTACTAAATTTAAATTCTATTATTATACACATTTTTTTTGTTTTTTTTTTTTTTTTGGTATTCTATATATTGAAGTTATTTGTTATTTTTGTGATTTAAAATGCAATAAATATTAAGGTGGTGGATTTAAAAATAAAAATCTAAATCATTTGAGTAGGTAATTTTAAAATTCCACCGGTAATTCAGACGAATCGGTGATCTGGGCGATGCTCGGTCTGAATTCGTCTGGACTATCAATGCTTTATCGTATTTTATGAATTTTATACTATTTAAGGATTGTCCGATGATGATGTAAACTTCTGTTTTTTAATTGAGAAATCATCTTTTTATATAATATAATTTAGAATATAAAAATAAATCTAAATTAAAATTTTATCGAGTAGTTTCAGAGTTAATAATTTTTTTATATTAAGAATAGATTTATAAAAAGTGTAAAATAAATGTAATATTGCATCTAGTATTTATTATACTCTAATAATTTTTACAAATTGCAAAATGACAATGGATTAATATTAACTACATTCTAAAATTTTCAAATAATCATAATCTTCCATATTTTTCAAATCTATTTCCCTTAGTATATAATGTTTAATAGTTAGAGCACTATTCGTTTGAAGTTAGGTTTAGATTTAGATTTATCAAAACTTTCAAAAAATTATCTGCTAAAGTAAAAATGGTGTATTCTCGTCTGAAAAATAAAATTTTTTATCGTAACAGAAAATATGACCGTTAAGTTTATTTAATAATTCCAAAAATAATATTTTGAATAACTACATTATTGAAGGAAAAATTCTACTACCTAATACTTAAAATATAAATATAATATTACATCATAATTGTATACTTGGATTCATCTATTATAAATACGAAGATTCTTTTAACGGAGAAAAAATGATGTTTTATGGTGTTTTACGGTTATTATTTTTAGACCTTCAAAGAAAGAATTATTTTTATAAGACCTCTCAACCCATTTTTGAGAATTATAACAACCTTGCAATCTATGATCTATGATAATTATGCCCATTCAATTGGTCTCACTTTAGTTATGAAGGTTGAGAACTGTTTTATGTGGTATCATTATATGTTACTATTTACGGTCGAAGAGAGTGAAAGATCATTAGAGTATTTTGTCCATGAAATTTTTGCATAATATTGTATAACTAAAAATTAAAACCATGTGTTCAAATTGTATTTTTTTACTTACATGTTATACATTATATCTTGAGAAAGTAATGTAAAAATGAATATTTTTGTTGTTATAATATTTTATAATCCCAGTATAATATGTATATTAATTATATAAAATAATATAGGTATATCATTACGACTGGCGTTTTCGAAATAAATAATAATCAATAATACCACATAATTAACCTAATAATTATTTATTGCTGTATAATGCATATTTACTGTAATATATAAAATAGATACTTAAATATAAATAGTTTTTCTTTATATTATAAATATCTATTATTTTTTTCTTTGTGGAAGGTACTAAATATTAAATTATTTATTTTAGATTAATCAAAAATAAAGCAATTATGGAGAAGATGTACTTCAACGAGTCGCATTTACCAGGTGAGTAATTATTAATAAGATACTTTTATAATGTATATTATAATTTATGTTTAATATAGATATCGGAAAACTGAATGATCACTGCTCCTATTTTTGTAGATACTGCGAATTATATTTTTAATATTTAGATTTTATAACTGCAATAAATATGTTAGTATTTTGAATAACTATGTATTGATTTAAACTAATATAATTTTAATTTGTAAATGTGAATTTGTTTTATGAACTTCGTGCGATTTGTTTTTAGATCCTTGAACTGATCGTATTGTCGTGTTAAAGATAATAACTTTGACACACAAAAAAAAAAAATGAAAATAGAAAAATCACCATATTATTAACCTAACCTTGACACTATAAGCTAATTGTAAATGGTTACATTTGTTTATAAATATTTTATTCTATATTTATCGATTTCCAATTCAATCTTTTCAAATTTCGCCTAGAAAAAATAAGTGGTATACTTAACTAAATGATCTTCTCACACTCATTTACATATTTATATAATATATATGCTATATGTATGATTTATTATATGATTACTATAAAAAAAGTATTACAATGAAATAGATAGTATATCATATTATTTATTTTAAGAATATCCAGATAAAAAAAAAAAAAACCATCAGATGAGTTAATATATTTTCATTATCATTTTATTATTATAATCACCATAAAAATCTATTGTACCCAATACATAGATTAATGCATTCGACACTGATACCAATGTTTATGCATAAAATTGCATAATAAGTATTGTTACATAAAAGTGCAATTATTATTAAGTAACATTATAACATTGCGTGCGTAAACGAATACTAAATCAAATCAATAATGTATTATCAACAGTATACTTACTTGAACTTGACTTATTATAAAAAATATGTATATTTCATAATAAATGTATGCATTGTATGCATTTATAAAGAAAAATATATTTAAATCAAATAAGTGCGTGAAAGATAAATATTTATGACACGTTAAATTTAATATTAATTTTCCAAAGAAGAGTAAATACAATTCATGTAATTTAGTCTTTTATAGATACAATATTATTCAGTATTAAGCTTACACCAGAAAATTTAAACGATAAGATTCGTAGATTCTATTTTTATCAATATTTCTGTTATAATCAAGTATACAAATTTTCCAAGCTAAACATTTTCTTTCTTAATAGTATTTAGAGCATACTTCAGTTTCCGTGTAGTGAGGAGAGGGTTAATATAAATAGATTTTGTTTTATTTTATTGTTTTACATTAGAGAATAGATTAGCTATTATAAATAATTTTAACAATTTTTGGAACTGCAATCTAATTTTTCATGGATAAATTTTGATTCTTCATAAAAAGTTTCAATTTTTTATTAAGTATATAAAGTTTAGCTATTTATATCAAGTAGAGTTTCTAAAATATTTCCAAGAACTATTTAACTTGACATTATCATATTAATCTATTGTATTTCCAAATTTGTATTGTATGAAACAATATGTTATTAAAATCCCATACGTAGTTTAGTTTTTACGTTTTATGTGTGGGTACAAGCGTAGTTATTTCAATTCTATGTAACCCTACAAGTGAAATACATAATAACTTTTCCTAATTTTAAATAAAATAATTTAAATAAATTTTTTTGACTGTAGTTTTTAATAACAATAAATCTAATACATATAAGGGTAAAAATATTTGATTTGAACAAGTATAGTAGTTCAATATATTTGTATATAATGTTTAAATTATTTGTATTTAAAACCAATATCCAATTATACTAAAAACACTAAAATTATTTTTATTATTTTAAATTTGAAAAAAACATAAAAAATATCAATATTTTAAGTTATATACTAGTCAAAGAAAAAAGAAGACTAAGTGATATATTTCTTTTTTTTTTTAATAATTTCTTTGGTTTAAATTAATTTTCTCTGGTTATTAATTATTTAAATCCTGTAAATGTTCAAAAAAAAAAAAAAAAAATTGGCTGAAATATAATTATATAATTTAAATATTAATGGAATTTTATCAAAAATTAAAAAATTAAAAGATTGTAACACATTTTTTTAGTATTAAAATAACATAAAATCTCTCTCTCTCTCTCTCTCTCTCTATCTGCATATATTTATATATTTGTTTAAAATAAATTAAGTGAAAATGGCGTAGGTAGAAAAGGTAGAATGTATATTTTTCCAACCAAAGTTATAATAAACTAAATTAGTAAATGTGACTGATGATAAATATTCAGTATTGATTATAAAAAATAAAAAAATATTTTATTAAAAATAAAATTAGTTGATATTCAAACATGATTTATTATTAATATTGTGTAAAATGTCGTTTTTTCGTTATGGATATTTTTAAATGTGTTAGAAAAAAAAATACATATTTATACACCCTTCTGTAGTTCTGCAAAATATTTAAATGCAATAATAATTTAAATTTTATTTACAAATTGTCTTTAAAATATCAGTACCTATAATTATATATAAATAGTTGATCATTCGAATGAATCAATTATCAAGAGAATTTGTGAAATGTCAATTAGAAAGCAGTTAACTGAGGTATCTAACAACCCGATGGAATATTCTTGATTGATATATTCTAGTTCATTTAAATACATTACGTAAATCATCTTTATTATACTCGTATTTTTTAATCTTTGTGAATTTTGGTGAGATATCTTATAAAAACATTCGTTTTTAGAATTTATGATTAACTACTGGTTTATTAATGAGTAAAAATATTTAACATTTTATTTTCGTCTAAATAATTTTGATTTTGATTGTTCACACCACTTGCCGTGTGGGTTATAAGTAACTAATTAATGAAATCATTAAAACGTAGATGTACTGACCTTATTCAATTCGTTAGTTGTTAACATGTTGTAGTTTTAAACAGTTTTAATGTGTTTTAAGATACAGATAATTTTATTGTATGAAGAAAGTTAGCAAAAAAAAAATTAACAGTTACTAAATTAGTTATACGTATTTTATATAAAATATTTATTTTACAATATTAAATGTACAAATAAATATTAATATTTATTTTGAAGTTAAAATTTAAACAATATCATATTTAAGGATAATCTAAGATAATCAAAACATTAGAAAAATATCGTCTATTATATATATTTTTTGTATACTGTAAATTAAAATTTTTTTTATTATAATTTAAGCTGCCGGTTATATTTATATGCAAGCACTACACGATACCATGATAAATGTACATCGCTATGGCTGAGATTTTTCAAAAAGCAAAAGCAAATAAATTGACCATGTCGATCTATAAAAATAATAAATAAAAAACAGTATAGCAGGAGTACGAAAAATGTTTTCCACTACCATTAATCATTACCCACCAGAAAACGTCAGTAGGTGTCCCACAAATGATTCACAAAAATGAGTTGATAGAGGTTCATAAAATATGTGAACGGTAAGGTTGAAAATATATTTTTTAATAATTTAAGCCGTTGAATTAAGATATATATATATTTTTTGTAATACATTATATAATATTATCAATAGATATTAATTAAAAACAATTTGAATATATTTACCCATTCATCTTTATATTTTCTTCCGTGAACAGTAAAGAGAAAATTAATAACTTTTTATCATTAATTTCGATGACAAGAAATGTCAAAACATATTAGAAAACCTAAGTACATTTATAGTATTATATTCGATTATTATTAACTTTTGTTTTTAAAAATATTATGTATAGTTCACTGAGTAACTTTAGAGCATCACTGTGTCGGAATTTCACTCAAACAGTGTTAAGGAAAATATCGGAGTAGGAAAAAATTTAATTGTCTACAACAAAATTAATATTTTCAATAGTATGACGTCTTCATTATTATGCGTCAATCCGATAACAATATAATTTATAGTGTTCGACATATCGAACTTGAAAATAAATAACCATGACATTATTAATTTGATATTGTTGTGTTAATAGTTTTGAATAATAATTCATTCGCCAATAGATCAATCGAAAACAAATCATCCGATGAATATTATCTAGGTACCTAACAAAAGTAATTAAATTGTAATTCGAAGACTGCATTAATGACCAGTGGGCTATTGACCATAATTTAAATCATATAACGTGATCATCATCCAAATGCTTTTACAGACGTTCGCTGTAACTGCTTATCCGAGCTTATTGATGAAGAAAAATAACAATTTTAAAAAGTGGATCCAACAGAATTATATTATATTTTTGTGTGTCGAGAACCCAATTCGGCGCCAGACAACGTTGTGTTATTATTTATTTAATACCTTCATTATTTAAACATTTCGTTAAAAAAAAAAAAAATAATTCTAAAATGAGCTACGTCTACTGTATTTACGTAAGTAAGACGTGTTTATTGTTTTTTTGTTACTGGATTGACCCGATTTTTTTAAATCGGCTTAGATAAGATATCATAATATTATACATCATTTACATTGATTGGGTTTAACAACCCAAAGTAAAATATTAATATTCTAAATCGTAGGTGTTGGAGTTCGGAAATAATAATTTAACACGACCGCGACATAATGACTTTATGTTCCAAAAATCATAGGCTTGAATATGGTTTAAAAAAAAGTACGAATATCATATACTTATTTTACTTATATCTAGTGACTGATTAAATATGAGACACTTATAATGGACTCTGTATAATAACCGTTGAATGTATCACTCCGTATATCGTTTTAATGATTTATAAAATATTAGGTACTTGATTAGCAAACTTAAATCTCACGTGTGTCAATTGCAAATTGGGTTACATTTTAACGAAGCAGTGAAATACTAACCAATGCTAATTATATCTATCTATTTGCATAACATAATAATTTGGGTCCAAAAGTTCAGGAATTTGCATATTTACTTTAGATTGCTTGATAAATATCTCAGATTCATGTATGTTTTTTGTAATTTTTTAAATAATAAAACATTTTTCATTTTTTTATAACTTTTTTCAGAAATGGGTAATTTTAAAACAAAATGATTAAATTTAAACCTTT